AGCTGGTCCTTTTGCTGGTTTACGCTGGTCTTTTGCTGGTTTATGCTGGTCCTTTCGCTGGTTTAAGCTGGTCCTTTGCTGGTTTAAACTGGTCCTTTGCTGGTTTAAACTGGTCCTTTGCTGGTTTAAACTGGTCCTTTGCTGGTTTAAACTGGTCCTTTGCTGGTTTAAACTGGTCCTTTGCTGGTTTAAACTGGTCCTTTGCTGGTTTAAACTGGTCCTTTGCTGGTTTAAACTGGTCCTTTGCTGGTTTAAACTGGTCCTTTGCTGGTTTAAACTGGTCCTTTGCTGGTTTATGCTGGCCCGTTTGCTGGTTTATGTTTATCCTTTGCCAGCACATGACCAGCATAAACCAGCATCCCAGCGTCAAAGCATACCTAACCAGCATACGCTGGTTTTTTCAACAGGGTATATACAGCTACAAAGAGGACATTAATGTCTCAAAGCGATGGACATACTGTGACAACAAAAAAACCCCTCATAATATTACACAATGAGCCTTTAAAGCAGGTGAGTTTATATCACTCCCGAAGCTTCAGTCATTCTGGACACTTTCTAGAAGTTTCCATGTTCACTTTGACATTGATGACAGCCACAAGTCAGACACGAAAACATTCACTTCTAGCAATTTGAACACACACAGAGAAAGCCCGAGACCTTGAAACATGCAGTCCTTAATGACATCCACTCATAAAGGTCTCATATTCAGCTTAAACTGGAAATATTCTTATAGAAACAAACGGGCTTGTCAGTACTGCTAACCGTTTAGCTCACCTGTGTATTGAAGCTCCAGTCGTTCATCTGCTTCTGTCCGGTCAACATTAATAATATCCCGAAGACAAAAGCACTGAAATAATTAAGCAACACATATTTCATATAATCACTTAAAACGGTCGTGCTTTATTAAGAATGCACAGAGAAGCTAACAGGCTAATGTGCTAGCAGGGTCTTCATTCACATCAATGACAGGCGTTAGCACGCCATTAACACTAGTTTATAGATCATGTCGTTATAGACACAAGCGCAGTTAATTTGTCGCTTTAACCGGTTAAGGTGTAAAATACTTTGGACACGGTGAATAAGTGATGGTTTAAGCATACAGGGTGGATGTGTGCTAACAGATTCAACCCGTTAGCATTGAACAGGAACTCTACTGAAACTGAGACAAGCCATTAAAACACCTGCACGACACCGACACGCTCTTACATCGCAAAATCAAGCGGATTCAAATGATTAGATGTATTTACCCGTGTTATAAAGACGCTCGAGGCCTCTGTAATGTTGTGTATCGGGTCCTGTCTGCTTTCCTCCCCAGCGGCACCATCATGAACAGCAGCAGAGCGCGCGCAGACTCCAGATCCGTTCAGCTCAGTGTTCACAGCCAGAGCGCTTGGCTTCACTGCAGCAGCTTCTCCTCTGGAGCACCACAGCACCGACAGATTCCTCACAGCACAACATCTGCTGTCAGCTGAACGGCCCACTAGTAAACAAGCAGCAGACACTTATTCCGAAAATATCAAAGTCACCTTTATTGTCATGTTTAGCCTCAGTTAATTGTACTGGGTTAACGGTAACACTTTACAACACTACCAGTCAACATTTTTTGAACAGTGAGATTTTTAATGTTTTTTCTTCTGCTCACCAAGCCTGCATTTATTTGATCCGAAATACAGCAAAAGCTGTAATATTGTGAAATATTTTTACTATTTAAAATAACTGCTTTCTATGTGAATATATTGTAAAATGTGATTTCAAAGCTGAATTTTTTATCATCATTACTCCAGTCACACGATCCTCCAGAAATCACTCTAATATGCTGATTTGCAGCTAAAAAAAACATTTATTATTATTAATAATCTTTTGAATGGTGTAGTGCATAATGTTACAAAAGCTTTTTATTTCAGATCAATGCTGATCTTTGGCTCTTTCTATTCATCAAAGAATGCTGAAAAAAAACTAAAATATTAATATGAATAATTTTAATTATTATTTTTAATAATAATAAATGTATATCAGCATATTATACTGATTTCTGAAGATCATGTGACACTGAAGACTGGAGGAATGATGCTGGAAATTCAGCTGTGCATCACAGGAATGATTATTAATAATAATAAATGTTTTTTTTAGCTGCAAATCAGCATATTAGAGTGATTTCTGGAGGATCGTGTGACTGGAGTAATGATGATAAAAAATTCAGCTTTGAAATCACATTTTACAATATATTCACATAGAAAGCAGTTATTTTAAATAGTAAAAATATTTCACAATATTACAGCTTTTGCTGTATTTCGGATCAAATAAATGCAGGCTTGGTGAGCAGAAGAGACTTCTTTAAAAACATTAAAAATCTTTCTGTTAATAAGCGTTTGACTGCAGTGCACGTCTCATTAACATTATCTGCATTAATCAACATAATGAACAAGACTTCTGTAGCATTTATTCATGTTGATTTTTACATTTACGAATACATTTTCAAAATCATTGTGAACTAACATGAACAATTGCGTTTTTATTAACTAACATTAATAAATGCTGTAAAAATATATTGCTTAGTTAGCAAATTATCATGCATTAACAAATTGACCTTATTTTTTATTATTATTGCAGAATAGAACATGGTCAACACGTGTGACACAACTTAACTATATACAAAACCAGGGCTTGCATGTATAAAAAAAATAATGAATAGCACTAATAAATAAATAATAATAAATAGGTAAAAATAAATCAAATGGGGAGAAGGAGGGGGGAGGGAGGCTGAGCAGATAGCACCAGCACGGATCTAAGATTCCAATTGCTCCTTCTTCCTGGACTTATAGAGCAAGCGGTACAGCTGCTCTAATGAGATATTATACGGGAGATTGTCCTAATAAATTCTGCCCATGCCTTAAGTGTGTTTGGTTGGGATTTATTAATTCTCGCTGTTGTGCATTCTAACAATGCAATATTTTTGAGTTCTATAAGCCACATTTTAAATGCTGGGAATGTGGGTTCGTGCCAGATTTGAAAAATGATCTTTCTGGCCGCAGTTAGAGCAGTGTGGAGGATCCTTCGCTGGCAAACATTCAGATTGAGCTCAGCATCATCACTCAACAGACAAAGACTGGGATGTTTAAAGATAACCACATCACAAATGGACCTTATTGTAAAGTTTGACCAAATTAACATATGATCAAAATTGTTTATTTACTAGTATTAACACTTTACAATCAAATTCTGTTTATTAGCATTAGATAACTACATTAGTTATGAACTAGCAATGAAAAAACGTAGAAAGCATTTGTTGATGTTAATTCCAACATTTACTAATTCATTATTAAAATCAATAGTTGTTTTGTTAATATTATTTAATGGACCCGAGCTAACAATGCGAATTTGTACTTCTATTAACTAATATTAACAGAGATTAATATATATTCAATACAAATGATGTTATCAACAAAATAAATGCTCAATATTGGAATCACCGTGAAATACTTGTAATGGTTTTGAGGAATAAACGCTGTGTTTACCAACATATGTACATCGTCTTTAAACCAGTTATTATTTTAATACTTTATTTAGGTTGGTGTAAAAAAAAATCTTGAAAATGAGCACGAAAATAAAAAGACAGATATATAATGGATTAATACCTCAATATTTAAATGACATTCTCTAAATGATTTAGCGACTAAATAACATGAGCAATTATTTAGAAGAAACAAAAGGAAAAGACAAACACTGAGATTGTTATAATTGTTGAGATTTAATATAAAAGAACAACTGTTTTTTTATTTACAAACATCAAAATACAAATATATTTAATTAAATAACCATTATCTTTCCAATAAAAACTCTCATTTGCTTTGTAATAAAACAAATTAGCTTCAATATCGGTTTAAAATGCTTTGAATTAAATGGCAACTACAAAGTATATCGACATAATTCTGAAACCTGGAATAAACGGATCGTAGTTGATCGTTTGAACGTGTTTCTAAGTCTTGCCGATTTAAACATTCCAGTGTTTTAAACCATTCACGCGCATTCGGAGCTGCGCGCACTCATTCAAACAGAGAGATCATTCACAGAGAGCCGCGTTTCAGACAATGTGCGTACACAGAATTGATTCTTCTTTCACGTATCCTTGCATCTGAATGAACATACACACAAAATATTCTCGTAAACACAGTCGGTAATATCTTAAGTGAACGTAAACAGTGGAGAAAGAAATCTCAAGTGCATCATTATATTGGATACGTGCATTCGGTCTTAAAGGGGCAGTAGCCTATAAACACCTGCTGTTCTATAAGCGCCACCTGCTGTCAGAGAGTGACATTTGCATCTCATTCACAAAGCTCAAATCAAACCATTCTGTTTTTGCTTCAAATTATACAATCTAATTGCAATCTAAATAACATGTATTTAGCATCTTTGTTTGGATCGTGATTAAAATGCAGTGGTTGCCTCTGATTTTAAACGGAAAAAGCACAGCCAAAGCATTAGTTTGTTTATAGGAAGAGATTCATTTTTTATTTGTTTTATTTAATTATTTGATTTGGGATTTGTTTTGAAATTTCAAGTTAGTTTTATTATTTGACATATTTCAATTTCACAAGGAAATGTGCAGCATTTTGTTGGAGAAATAATAAAAGGACACCTTTTCATTTATAATTTGTCTTAAATCTCATTTTGTTAAAAAGAAAAATTGTGAGAAAATTGTATTGTGAAATCAGTATCATGAATCACATCGTGAGTTGAGTGAATCGTTACATCCCTAAATGCTACTAGTTTTTGCTGTGGTGTCAAAGAAGTCAGTGTTTTAAACCATTCACGCGCATTCGGAGCTGCGCGCACTCATTCAAACAGAGAGATCATTCACAGAGAGCCGCGTTTCAGACAATGTGCGTACACAGAATTGATTCTTCTTTCGCGTATCCTTGCATCTGAATGAACACATACACACAAAATATTCTCGTAAACACAGTCGGTAATATCTTAAGTGAACGTAAACAGTGGAGAAAGAAATCTCAAGTGCATCATTATATTGGATACGTGCATTCGGTCTTAAAGGGGCAGTAGCCTATAAACACCTGCTGTTCTATAAGCGCCACCTGCTGTCAGAGAGTGACATTTGCATCTCATTCACAAAGCTCAAATCAAACCATTCTGTTTTTGCTTCAAATTATACAATCTAATTGCAATCTAAATAACATGTATTTAGCATCTTTGTTTGGATCGTGATTAAAATGCAGTGGTTGCCTCTGATTTTAAACGGAAAAAGCACAGCCAAAGCATTAGTTTGTTTATAGGAAGAGATTCATTTTTTATTTGTTTTATTTAATTATTTGATTTGGGATTTGTTTTGAAATTTCAAGTTAGTTTTATTATTTGACATATTTCAATTTCACAAGGAAATGTGCAGCATTTTGTTGGAGAAATAATAAAAGGACACCTTTTCATTTATAATTTGTCTTAAATCTCATTTTGTTAAAAAGAAAAATTGTGAGAAAATTGTATTGTGAAATCAGTATCATGAATCGCATCGTGAGTTGAGTGAATCGTTACATCCCTAAATGCTACTAGTTTTTGCTGTGGTGTCAAAGAAGTATTCTGTTATTTAAATAATAAAGAACCATATTTTTTATGATGCAAGCCGTGAGTTTTGTGATCTGTTGCACCCCTACTCTCTTGACTTGTTATTTGAAGAAAAAAAAGCGATCACTGACGTTTTTAATCATGCTAATTTAATAACTTAAATTCATTTTGGGCTACCAAAATCTGAAGAATGCCTGCCCGAAGGGCTACCAGCGATTTTGAAATTTTGCAAGCCCTGGCACTGTAGAGTCCTGAATAACTGTTTTCATAAAAACAGACGTCACTCACCATCCGTCCCATGACACCTGTGCCGACGCTCTCAACCTCCACCTCAGAGATGTGTGCCGCATGCTCCGCCTTCACATAGAACAACAGCATGATGCCCACCAACCGCACCAGCTTCACCTGCAAAACACAGACGACAATGCTCACACACTGATCAGGAAGGCTTGAGGAAATGACAGAAATGACAATACTTTAGGGCTATGTCAAAACTCTTTCTTGACTTCATACTTTTTTCTCTTAATACATGGAAAAAAAACAACACAGAGTCAACAAACAAGGAGGTTAGAAAATTATATTCTGAATATTCTGAAGGTTTTTACAGAGGGGTATTCATATATTATTTGCCTGATTGTATGCAACATTTTATTCCTAAAAACATGGTGAAAATGATTTTTATTTTAGTTGTCGACAGTACTTTCTGACTTATGGAGTGATAAAAAGAGATTTCCAAAACCTTAACATGTCAACAAAATGAAACAAGAACTTTGATCATGGCTTTACCCAATGTTCAGTTTTCTGCTCTGGAAATGTATACAAAATAATGCATATTTAATCAGACAATGCCTCATTTGCATATTTAAACATCACATGTCCTACACTCCTAATGTAATCAATCAACTGGGGAAATATGGTGATCTCTATTAGTATTTTACTCACCTTAATGGTTAATTTACTGACAGCTTGACTAATAAGTAGTTTGTAATTAATTATAATCCATCCATCAGCAGCATATTCTAATAATGCATTAGTGCACACTAGCTCAGGTGTGAGAGGGCAGAGGAAGTCCTTACAAAAGCATACTTGGCATCTGGATGGAGGCCCTTGTAGACAGCTAACATCCACTCGGGTTCTTTAGGAGTGTCATTGAAGAGAAACGCCTCTTTACTGAGATCCAGCTCTTGGAAACTACAGATGGAAAACAGCAGGGAATCAGAATCACTGATCTGTCCATCTTCATTGCCGTTTACATTAATATAAATATAATAATGTGAACTCTTACGCCACAAGGTAAAAGTCTGGAGGAGTGGTGGTGGATGCCAGCCATGGACTGAGACTTTCCTTTGGATTCTTGCCATTCACATTGTAGGTGCCCAAGAAAAAGCTGTTGAGTGATTCACATGATGTCACAACACAAGCCAAAGAGAGAAGCTGCCAGAATCAATTAAGAAACATCTCACATACTGAAACCTAGAGAACTACTGTACTGCATTAGTCAATAAAAGCCATTCCAACACAGGAGTCTGTTTAATTATGGCTGAGTCTGGATTTAATACAGTTCTGTTTTAAAATGACTATGCTTAAGACTGCAAACAGCATCACTATTTTTGTAGAAATAATGTCCATGCATGTGCAGCTGTAGGACAGGTTTCCATCCAAAAGGGGGCACTGCTGACACAGTACTGCAAATGTCCACTCAAGGATGATCATCACCAACTTCAAAAAAATGCATTGAACTGAAATTTACAAATTTACATCAGTAAGATATTTTGGAAGGGCAAACATTACATTTACTGTCCTATTCAGCAAAGACATGTTAAATAGGTCATGAACTGAAATACAAAGATAAGAGTTCATTGTGCTATAAAAACATCCTGTTAGTTCCAGAACTCAAAACTTTCTCGTTAGTTTAAAAACAGCTTGTATTGAAGCCAATCTGCCAAAACGGCAGGTTGTGGAATGTGCCACTTTATGATGTAATAGTGTGGCTAAACTCCGCCTCCACAGAAGAAGTTCAACGCCTGCCTGTTTAGCCCCGCCCACCGAATCACACATGCAGTGTAAATAACGAGAGGCAAACCCAGGTCTACACAGAAACCAAACGATAAAGATGCTCCGAAGACAAGACGCTGTGAAGTGCCAACCTGTGGAAAAACACAGTCTTTGCATCGCCTTCCTTCTGATCCCAACATTAGGAAAGAGTGGATTTACTTTATTTTTAATGAAGATCCAGACGGCGGCAGTAAGAATTTGGTCTTTGTTAACTTAATTTTACAGTGGATTCATATACAAATAAGGCACAATTCGACGCAGTGAGTGACAGTGAGTTGACCACATGTTTGATAAATTTAGCCTTCTCAAATCAACATTTGACTTGCCTACAATAAAATCCATATATATATATATATATATATATATATAAAACTGCAAGCATATCACAATGTTGGTTTAAACATTTAACCTAAATAAACCTGCACTGTTAGACGCATATCCAAGCTAAAGCGTGCTTCATGACTTTGAGTCACCTGCGTGATCACTTGCATTTATTTTTTACGGATAACAGTGGAAACAACATCAAATACAAAATTTTTGCTCTTACAGATAAGAGTAATCCATCATTTGAAACTGTAAAGGGTCTACTTTTATTTGTGTGCTCTCACAACAACAACAAAACATTGTGCTTTTGTAACAAAGACAACAAACAGGATGTGCTTTCTGCTGTCTCAGTCTCTGTGAACTGGAGCACAGCACAAAAATGAACCGAAACACAGCATCTAGGCTACTTGCTTCACAGAAATGAGAACTATATCTATAGAAAGCTCGAAAAGACTACTTTAAAATGACCCCATTCAAATTGAAAACAAATACTCTCTGATTATGTAATCCGTATGAAATGTGCTTATTTGATGGATGTCTAAAATATAAAAAGAAGGAGAAGCCTAAAACAGGCCCGTTGCCTGTGAGCTGCGACGTGAAAATTGTCTCGAAGCCCTGAAATGCAGGGCTCTTATTAACAATATGTCACTTTAATGTCTCAGAAAATAACATTTCTGTTTACATATTGTGAAATGTAGGCCATGAGGGCCTCTGAAAAGCAGCAGATGCAATGTTAAAATAAGCGTATGACATAACAGGCAAATGTTAACATCAAGCATGACGACTGGCACCTAACCACACCTGTAGTTCTTGATGTAGGTGTAGGCATCCTCGTTCTTGAGGAGCTCACATTTGATGAGGTTATCCCGCAGGCCGTACTGGGGCATGCCGAGCATCTGGGATTTATTTGACAGGATGGGCTGGGAGTTTCGGATCAGGTCATCTCTCACCTCACTCTTCACTCTCTCCTGACTGAAACAAAATCAACAAACTGCTTTATGACAGAATATTTTGACAGAAATAGTATCAGAAATACTAATACTTTTATTCAGTTAGGATGCATTAAATTGATCAAAAGTGTCAGTAAAGACATTTATAATGTTACAAAAGATTTCTGTATCAAATAATGCTTTCCTTTTGAGAAGTCTATTCATCAAACAATCCTGAATTTTTTTTTTTTATTATGGTTTCCACAAAAATATGAAGAAGCCAAACTATTTTTAACACTGATAATAATCAGGAATGTTTCTTGAGCAACAAATCAGCATATTAGGCCCCGTCCATACGGAGACGCGTTTAGCTGTATACGCATACATTTTGTATCGTATAGGCGTTTCGTCCACACGGATCCAGCGTTTTGGGAGTGTGAAACCGATATGTTTTTAAACCGGGTCTCAGAGTCAGTGTTGCCAACTGCTTTCAATTGAAAGTAGCTAAAACTGGTAGCTAAATGTCACTAGATGACATCACAACGGAAAATTCACTGATCTATATAAAGATGAACGTAGATCAGTGGGCAAGATGAGAACTTGTTTGTCCAAGCAGTTGCTATATTTGTCCCTAAACTTTTGAAAAAATTCTCAAAAGGGGCGGGGAAGTCGCTAAATATAGCTACAAATTAGCTAAATTGGCAACACTGCTCACAGTGGATAAATCTGAAAACGCCACCCTTGCGTTTTCGTGTGGACAGCGAATCCGTATATTTTCTGAAACGATTACGTCATCAGCCCACGTCTCGCCGCTAGTCAGACACCGCTACGTCACGTAACAGCAACAAAAACACTGAACAAACACTGAACGATTGTCTTTTTATTAACTAACATTAACACAGATTATTAAATATATTGTTCCATGTTCGTTTGTATACCGCACGCAATGTTTATGCGCATAGTCCAAGTCTTCTTCTCCGTTTTTAGTGTATCTCTATGGCAGAATTACAGCGCCACATGCTGGTCTAGCATGCATACTACATCGTTTTGTGTCGGTTTCGTGTGGACGCCGATATTTCTTGAGACAAGGGGGAAAAAAATATTGGATAGGGAAAGCTCTGGCTTCGTGTGGACGTAGCCTTAGAATGAATTCTGAAGGATTATGTGACACTGAAGACTGGCACAGCAATAAATGACATTTTATAATATATTACAATTTATACTACGGGGCCGTAGAATGCTTGAATCTGATTGGCTGACGAACGTTCTGGGGTGTGCAACTATTTTCAGGGAAACGCACGACGAACGTAGTTCCAGGCAGCTCTCTTGACCGCATTACAGTTCTATATCAGTTCGCATAGTTAACTGTAATAATGGTAATTAGCATACAGTACCTATACAGCACACAGTAATTACTGCAATCACACGTGCTCGCACACGCACACTACGGTCACGCAGTTTGCACAAAAAGGTGTTGTCAGCGCTGCCCTGACGATTTGATCAGTTAGCCTATATAGTGTAGCAACTTAAAGGCTACACATGACATTTCTCACTAGCGAGGTAATAACAGTGCTGTTTAGAGACGCTGCTGCAGAACACTGTTGAGGGACGCACAGAGGTAGCCTAATTCACACAAGTTCTCTCTCTCTCTCTTTCTCTGTGTGTCTCGGTCTCTCTCGCTCTGTTTCTAATAACTTCATTAATAACTGCATTAGAATGCTATCAACGGCTCAAGCCTCCATTACCAGCTTTAAAATGACATTTTGGAACTAGCAAAAGAGGCGTTGGATGAGATGCGGAAGAAATAATCCTACTCACAGTAGCGATTTAAGTACAAAAACTGGACGAATCCCTTTAAATATATCATATCATAAATATATCAAATAATATATCATATCAGACATCGATGTCTTGAGGTGTGGTAACTGTAGTATAAGCGGAATAATTGACTCCGGGCCGTTGAATTATTAGAAAAATAATGCAATATTTTTCTAATAATTCAACGGCCCGGAGTCAATTATTCCTTACAGAAAACAGTTATTTTAAATTGTAATAATTTTTCACAATATTACTGTTTTACTGTATTTTTGATCAAATAAATGCAGCTTTGGAGAGCAGGAGAGACTTCTTTCGAAGGCATCATTTCAAAGAAATAAGGTTGGGAATCTAATTGATTCAAATCGATTCTTGGAGTCACAGTTTGATCAAATTCCGATTCAATTTATGCATAGATTTCATTCTAGCTTGCTGTTTTATGTTACTTTTCTTATTTGGCTGCGGTGGACAGTTTAAAAGGTCTTGAAAAAATAAAAGTGCCACTGAATTAACTGCAAACCTTGAAATTTTGTTTGTTTTTCTTCCCATTTTAGTCAACTCAGTATTATAAAACAAACGCCAGAACTGCCACATTTCGCTGTAAAGTGAACCGGAGTCTACTCGGCTATCCACTGACTTTTTAATTAACTCAGTTTAAAATCAAACACATTCCACTCTTTATCTTCTCATTCATGCATGTTTCTTTATTACTCTTTATCACACTTTGAGTAGTAGATAAGTTACATAAAAAGTAAAATTAAAAAATATATATATTTTTTTACATTGGTGAATCGATGTGTACTGGTAGAAGATTAAAAAAAGAAAAAAAGATTGTTGTCTTTCTCTACACTGAATTAGACAGTTGGGAGTGACTAGATTAATGTAAACATTGCATTTAGTCATTTAGCAGACACTTTTATCCAAAGGACAATAGAAGCAATCAAACCAACAAAAGAGCAACAGCATGAAAGTGCTGCGACAAGTCCGGGTTAGTCACAATTCCCTTCATCTTTTGTACATTGGTGAATCGATGTGTACTGGTAGAAGATTAAAAAAAGAAAAACAGATTGTTGTCTTTCTCTACACTGAATTAGACAGTTGGGAGTGACTAGATTAATGTAAACATTGCATTTAGTCATTTAGCAGACACTTTTATCCAAAGGACAATAGAAGCAATCAAACCAACAAAAGAGCAACAGCATGAAAGTGCTGCGACAAGTCCGGGTTAGTCACAATTCCCTTCATCTTTTGACAGATAAGAGTTCATTGTGCTATAAAAACATCCTGTTAGTTCCAGAACTCAAAACTTTCTCGTTAGTTTAAAAACAGCTTGTATTGAAGCCAATCTGCCAAAACGGCAGGTTGTGGAATGTGCCACTTTATGATGTAATAGTGTGGCTAAACTCCGCCTCCACAGAAGAAGTTCAACGCCTGCTTCTACAGCACTGCCTGTTTAGCCCCGCCCACCTTTTCACGCATGCAGCGGTTAGTCCCAGTACACGTAGCATTTTTTTTATATTACATAAAAACTAAGCAGATAGAACAGAAAAAGGTAGTGTTAAAAGGGTCATGAACTGAAATCACAATTCCCTTCATCTTTTGACAGATAAGAGTTCATTGTGCTATAAAAACATCCTGTTAGTTCCAGAACTCAAAACTTTCTCGTTAGTTTAAAAACAGCTTGTATTGAAGCCAATCTGCCAAAACGGCAGGTTGTGGAATGTGCCACTTTATGATGTAATAGTGTGGCTAAACTCCGCCTCCACAGAAGAAGTTCAACGCCTGCTTCTACATGACTGCCTGTTTAGCCCCGCCCACCTTTTCACGCATGCAGTGTAAATAACGAGAGAGGCAAACTAGGGCTGGACAATAATTCAATATCAATATGTATCGCGATATATATTTTTTCAATAACGGTGATATGGTTTTTAAACACATTTCCGATATTTCGATATAGCCTACATTACCAGTGTTTCCCATACATTGATTTATTTGTGGCGTTTGACTTCATTGAATAAACATGAGCACTGCACGTTTTAAAATCAAAACTTGTCGCGGGTGTTTTATGATTTAAATTGATGATTTAAATTGAAGATAAAGACATTTATAATGTTACAAAAGATTTCTATTTCAGATCAATTCTGTTCTTCTGAACTTTCTATTCGTCAAAGAAACCTGAAAAAATTCGATTTAATTCTAAATTTCAACATAATAAATGATTTTTGAGCAGCAAATCAGAATATTAGAATGATTTCTGAAGGACCATGTGACTGGAGTAATTATGCTAAAAATATAGCTTTGAAATCACAGGAATAAATGACATTTTAAAATATATTTCAAAATGTTACTGTTTTTGCTGTATTTTGGATTAAAAAACACATCACATTTCTTGTTTGAATGAAGGCTAAATACAAATAAAAGGTGAACATTAATTTATTTGTGTTGGTTTTTTTTTTCTAAAATATTACATGGTTTTATATGAGGTGTCAGAGACGTGGCAAATTCATTTTTCATAAGTTTGTATGCACAGACATCTGTTGTGGCGTTCTTGGCAGTTTTTACGAGGCTTTTTTAAATAGTGTTCATATCGATATCGGAATTATATCGTATCGACTGAAATTAAGAAATATATCGTGATATACATTTTTGCCATATCGTCCAGCCCTAAGGCAAACCCAGGTCTACGTAGAAACCAAACGATAAAGATGCTCCGAAGACAACAAGACGCTGTGCAGCGCCAACCTGTGGAAAAACACAGTCTTTGCACTGCCTTCTTTCTGACCTCAACATTAGGAAAGAGTGATCCAGACGGCGCCAGTAAGATCACATCACTTCATTTTATTGCAGATTTGTTTACAAACAAGGCACAATTCGACGATTCGATTTTCAGAAAGGTTGAAACTAAAAGACGATGCTGTGCTGAATATATTAGATCTGACAGTAATGTGGCACCACACAAGTGTGAGTAACTGTTTTTATTATGTGCTCACTATTGCTTTGTGTTATTACAGATCACTTGATATTTATGCATTTTTAACCTAAATCACAGCGGCGTCCATCTATGAAGGCTGTAGAGACTGTCAAACATACACAACTGTTAGCCAATCCCAGCAGTGGGCGGTTACTTCCGAGTCGACAATCCGTCATGCCTATTCAAACAGAGCGTTCTGATGAGTGGAGTCAAAACAGAATGTAAAAATCATTGAGTGGACCTCAGAGAACAATACAAAATAAAAAAACAAAGGCAGTTCATGACCCCTTTAAACACAATATTAACGTATTGTTTTAAGGTATTATGATTTTAGGTTAAAATGTAACTTCGGTCTCTACTCACAACTCACACTTTCAACTAGCAACAGATTGTTACTAACTTTTACTTCGAAAACAAAACTGTAGTGATTATTTGAACATCGTAGAGTTTTAAGAAATTAGGAAAACCGGGTAAAACCTTTAAAATGCTGCTAAAAGAGCACAAGGTTTTTATTTCTCTTTTATAGAATATGACACATCACTGAACACGTGAGCTGTGCACATGTCACTGTTTCAACTGTTGTGACTCGCCTCGTTTTAATGACTGAAAAGTTGCTGCTATGAATACCACGCATTAAATAAGACACAATTGAATGTTCCGATTCATGGTTTGAAAACATACTATAGCTGAAAATATGCAAGTCTCGTAGTTGAGTTTCTGGTATCCGGCAGCAGCGATTTCACCAAAATCAATAGGGCAGTCACATAAAACTGACCGACGAGCTGAATCTGGCCCACAGGCCGACAGCTGACAGGCCCTGGTTTAAATCAGGAACAGCCAGGAGAAGTAGAATTGTTAGAACTACATATAGTATGTGTGCTTTTATAAAAACAATGTAAAAATGACCTGAGCTAATTCTGTCTGCAACACTTTGATAAAGTGGGAAATGTACCTTTCATGCACGCCATCTCCTCTGGTCCGTTCATCCTCTTTCATCTGTCCGCTGTTGTTGGCTGCGTCTGCTCTTTCTGTAAAGGTGGAGACAGATTTCACGGACAATGTTTGAGTCAGATTAGTCTACAGCATTTCATAAACAGCACTTAAACGCAAGTCAGGCATCTCATAATTTCATGGGAGAGTTTTTCAGGAACTGGGAGTCCTACAGCTCTTCTCCTGCATTCCAATTCCTTGAGTTCGTTCTGATAACAAGCACCGCTGAACAGGTCAAAGTTTCACAATGACAACATGAATCAGTAGTCCAGCGTACATCAGTGAGTGATGATGTCATGAGGGTGTAGAAAAGAGGGATGAGGGCGGGACCAAAACAAACATAAGCTTCCTCAAAACGATTTCATACGGGGAAGGAAAGGTTTGGCAACTATGGTTACTGCATTAACACAAAGTTCAGTTGGCTGAGATCTGAATAACAAATCTTTTATTCAGCTTTGACTGGATAATCGTGGCCTGTGGGCAGCACATTGCAATATGCTAGAGCTGAGCTACACGTTTCAACACTAATGAAGAAAGACACTGCCAGAAAGATGAAGACTCATTTGTGCATTTTGACCTTATAATGTTTACATCGCAACTTTAATAAACTAAACAGACACTGTTCATTTTGTCTGATTAATTCAGATTAGATGTTTGGATAGTATCCATTCATTTCTGAAGAAAAAGTCTCACTTTGTGACTTTGGAACGGACTGGATTCTCTGCTTAACATTTCTAAAAGACACTCATGAAGTGGAAAATGAGGAGACGTCAGTCCAAATAATAAAAAAATTATAATAATTACACTTTAAGGGATAGTTCACCCATAAATGAAAATGTGATGTTTATCTGCTTAACCCCAGGGCATCCAAGATGTAGGGGACTTTGTTTCTTCAGTAGAACACAAACTGAGGTTTTTAACTCAAACCGTTGCAGTCTGTCAGTCATATAATGGAGGTGGATAGGAATCACAGCTTTGAGAGTCTAAAAAGCATGCACAAACAAAACCCAATTAAACCCTGCGGCTCGTGACGATACACTGATGTGTAAAGACACAAAACGATTGGTCTGTGCAAGAAACTAAACAGTATTTATATAGTTTTTTACCTCTGATTCACGCAATGTCCGAACTGTCCTGAGCGTGTTCTCAACAGCCGGTGCGTGACGCGTCTTCTTCTTGCTCTACGGCAGATCGCAGACTTATAAGTGCATTACCGCCACCTATCTCTCAAATGGTTTTGTTTGTGTATGTCTACAATCTACAATTAGGAGTGTCAATGCAAAGCAAGAAGAAGACGCGTCACGCACCGGCTGTTGAGAACACGCTCAGGACAGTTCGGACATTGCAGTGAATCAAGAGGTAAAAAACAATATAAATACTGTTTAGTTTCTTGCACAGACCGTGCAATCTAAGTTTATTTACACATCAATGTATCGTCACGAGCCGCAGGGTTTAATTTGGTTTTGTTTGTGTATGTTTTTTTGACTCTCAAAGCCGTGATTCCTATTCACTTCCATTATAAGACTGACAGACTGCAACGGTTCGAGTTAAAAATCTTCGTTTGTGTTCTACTGAAGAAACAAAGTCACCTACATGTTAGATGCCCTGGGGGTAAGCAGATAAACATCAAATTTTTATTTATGGGTGAACTATCTCTTTAAAGATTTTAGGTTACAATTTATATCCATTAGGGTCCAACGTTTGACAAAGACTGAAAATGGATTTTCAGATTTAAATTAAGTTGAATTGAACAATTTACAAAGAGCATCATGAGCTTCAATGGGAACAAGAAAAGGAATTAAAATGCTCAAAAGTCACAAATGGCTTATTTAGTTTGTGACTTATAAACAATGCAGAATCTGAAATAAAAACCAGGGCCCGTATTCAAGAAAATTCTTAGTGCAAACAGTTGCTCCTAGTGACAAAATTCTAAGAAAATTGGTCGTTTCCCCTTAAAATGAAAGAGAAGAAGATCCTAGTAAAGATGAAAGTGATTCACAAAGCATCTTAACCCTTAAAAGAGCTCTTAAGATCAAAAAGTGTTAGGAGTAGGGAGGAGGACTTTTAAGAGGCTTAAAGGAGACATATTATGCCCCTTTTTACAATATGTAATATAAATCTCTGGTGTCCCCAGAATGTGTCTGTGAAGTTTCAGCTCAAAATACTCCCCAGATCATTTATTATATCATTTTGAAAATGCCTATTTTGAGTGGAAGCAGAAACATGCTGTTTTTCGGGCCTGTTTCTTTAAATGCAAATGAGCTGCTGCTCCCCGCCCCCTTTTCCAGAATAGAGCTGCGCCATTACAGCTCGTGCCTGCTAAAAAACATCTGTTTTGGTTCTGACTATGTTTATCGCGCTGAAATCATGCGTTTTAAACCATACGAGTTTAAACTTCAAATATATGGTTTTCTGAAAGCACACATCCGAAAGCACACGGACAGAAAGCGGCTGTCACAGCATGCGAGTACTAAACTAAGTTCTCATTCACACAAGTTTACATTAAAAACACACACGAGTTACAAAAACAGTTGGTTATGTCTGTGAAGGTAAACCGCTGGGAAATAAATCGCTTGTTTATTTTAGATCTGTGTGGCAGCAGCAATATACAGTAAATAAATCAATAAAT